GTCATGATTGGTGCTTCAGATTAGGAGCCAGTTCCTCAGCTGGTGTAAAATAGCATAGCTCCATGGAAGAATATTTGAAGAGTTCTGACAAATAAGTAATTGGAGAGACCGTGTAGTAGAGCAATGGATTGGGAGTCAGGAGACCTGGATTCTATTTCCAGGTCAGCCATTAAGCCGCATTAACAACAAGGAGTCCAGTGGCACCTTAAAGACTAACAGATTTATTTGGGCATAAGCTTTCGTGGATAAAAACCTCACTTCTTCAGATGCATGGAGTGAAAATTACAGATGCAGGCATTATATAATGACACATGAAGAGAAGGGAGTTCACAAGTGGAGAACCAGTGTTGACAGGGCCAATTCGATCAGGGTGGATGTAATCCACTCCCAGATGAAGAGGTGTCAATTCCAGGAGAGGCAAAGCTGCTTTTGTAATGAGCCAGCCACTCTCTGTCCCTATTCAAGCCCAAATTAATGGTGTTAAATTCGCAAATGAATTTTAATTCTGCTGTTTCTCTGTGAAGTCTGTTTCTGAAGTTTTTTTGTTCAAGAAGAGTTACTTTTAAATCTGTTATAGAATGTCCAGGGAGATTGAAGTGTTCACCTACTGGCTTTTGTATGTTACCATTCCTGATGTCCGATTTGTGTCCATTTATTCTTTTACGTAGGGACTGTCCGGTTTGGCCAATGTACATGGCAGAGCAGCATTGCTGGCACATGATGGCATATATAACATTAGTAGACATGTAGGTGACTGAGCCCTTGATGGTGTGGCTGATGTGGTTGGGTCCTCTGATGGTGCCTGCTTCTGTAATTTTCACTCCATGCATCTGAGGTTTTTTACCCACGAAAGCTCATGCCCAAATCTGTTAGGCTTCAAGGTGCCACTGGACTCCTTGTTGTTTTTGTGGAGACAGATTAACACGGCTACCTCCTGACACTATTAAGCCGCATTGTGTTGCTGGGCAAATTACTTAATCACTGTGTGTCTTTGTTCCCCCTCCAACCGTTTGGCTGTCTTGTCCATTTGAAAGAATATAAGCTCTTCAGAGCAGGGACTTACTGTGTGTTTGAATTGTATCTAGCACAATATTAGGTGCAGCTGTAATATAAGTAAGACTAAAAGTGTTCTTAATGTACACTTAATTTCTAAGAAAAAATGAGGTTTGCTGTTTTCCTGCAGCTTAGTAAGTTTTTCTTTTTATAGTGTAGTAATTTAAAAAAAAAAACGAGCCAAGCAGTATTATTCCTGCTCAGAATCCAAATGTGGCGTCTTTTATTGATCATACTTGACTTGTTTGCTCTGCCGACTCCCATTTAATGTCATGATTGATTATTCATTTACATGTAAATATCTCTGCAGATGAAATCTCTTTAACATTAATCATCTCTGGAACATAAGTAAGCAACACTTAAATGTTTTTAATGCTAATTGGATAATATATTGCTAGATTGAAACATAAATTTACATTTATATATCCATAAATATATTTTGACATCTTGTCCTGTGAATCCAACAAAATGCTGCTGAGCTACAATAACCTTTCTGGGAATGAACATGACCACTACAGTAAACCCAGTCTGTTTTTCCCTCTTTGTGTACTCTCGCCCACTTGATAAATTCTGTAAATTCTGTAAGAATACTCATGTTGAGATCTGCAATGTGATCTGAAATAATAATTTTGTCCTTTGTATTGCCACTGATAGTATAGAAATCAAGATAAAAGTATGGTTCTTAAAACTCCAGATGTGGTTAGCAAGGATTCTGTGTTCATGACATACATTTTATAATAGAAGGTATCAGTTTTGAGCATCCCATTTAAAGGCTTTGTGGTCGATAGTAATATACTTGGATTGTACAGAATGAGTATCAAAGGATCTATTTAGACACCACTTGAATGCCTGTATAGAGGGGTGAAAGCCCCACTATCTTTCTATGGGAACTCAATAGACAATAGGTAAAGAAAAAAATAAGTCATATATAGTCAGCAGTGCAATACCACATTTGGGAGGGGAGGATTGTGACAGATGAATGATGAGAGTTTCAAAATTGCTTAGTGTTAGGCTATGTCTTCACTGCAAAAGAGATGGGATTTTTTAAAACTGTGGGATAACTAATGTACATTAACTACCCCACTGTAACACTCCTAGTGGAAACAAGGCAGTGTGGTTTTACTGAGAGGTAAACTAGGTGAAGTCAATGCTATACACCAACCTATAGCTGATCTCACCTATGGTAGTTTACCTCACAATAAAAATACAGTGCCCTATCTCCACTCGGATTTTAGAGTGATAGCCAATGCTGGTTAGCTATCCTGGTATAAAAGCAATCATTTCTGGCAGTGAAGACGAAGCCTTAGCGTAACTGTGCCATTGATGTTGGAGTTAGGCTAACATGGAGCACTTTTTTAAAATCCCACCCTAAAGTTGTAAGCTTAATACCTTGACCCCTGGGGTGGCAGGGACTGTGTTGCTAAAGTCTCCACCCTCCTCCTGCTCAGTTATAAGAAGCAGTTCACATGAATTCCAGAGAGACAGGGATGTATCCAGGGTTCCTTGGGTGCTGGTAGTGGACTCAGCCCTGAAGCATTTTCTTAGCCAAAGCTCTTAACTAATGTAACTTAGAGGTTTTTGACTGAATAAAGACTTTAAAATGGGATTACTTTCAACTGGCTGTTGGAAGCTGAGGAGATGCAACTTCAGCCTTGATATTTTTTGTTTTGTTTGTTTTTTTGCTTACATTGAGAAGAGAGTGTATATGAGTGTGCTGCATTTGTCTAAAATGCAAGTGTGATTTAGTCAGCTCAGTTCCCCTGGCCTCTGCATTGTTTTTAGAAGCATGGTAAAGAATCGCCTTTGTGATTTATGGGTGTTGCCCTTAAATGTCATTTCATCTGAGTCTCTGGGGTGCCCTATGAAAAAAATGTGTCCTGTATCCCTTTTTGGTTGGAGTTCCTATGTTTTGCGATCTGACAGTTTGCAAATTTCTATAAGCTGTAAATGGAATGTTGCATATACACTTTTCCTGCAACAGGTAGGTTGCAGACCCTGAACTTGAAGCCTGTGTCTGCACTGTAGTTGAGACTATGCCTGCTCTGAGGCAGATTAGGGGTTTGTGGGGCCCTGGGCCAGTGCAAGTGGGGGCCCCTCCCTACCTCTTCCGCCTGCAGTCCCCTCCGCCCCCACCCCTGACACTCCTGCTGGGGAAATGGGGTCAGGGTGGAGTGGGTGGGTACACAGGGGTGCCCGTTTTTCCGGGGCCCTCCCAATTGGTTTTAGATTTTGCCAACCTGGTGGCTAACATATGCCACAGTGGTCTGAATGGATTGATAATCAGTGTCAATTGCAAATCCAGTCTCTTTCAAATATTCAAAAATTCCTAAATAGTAACCAGGGAAAATTCCTAGTCTTCCACCACCTTTGGAAACATTTCACCATGTTCCCAGGAAGGCAAAAGTTTCCCCAAATCTCTTGCTTCACTGAACAAAAGGATACATGCTAGTGATACTGATCTTATATGGTATCCCAGTGCAGGGCTGCCCAGAAGATTCAGGGGGCCTGGGGCAAAGCAATTTGGGGGCCCCTTCCATAAAAAAAAAGTTGCAATACTATAGTAACATGTATTTGGAAACGTAAAAAATAACTAGTGAAATACATTCAAAAATTAATTTGTAATAATTTGAAAATACACTAAATACATTATTTAAAAGCATTAAATGCTTTAATGGTATGTATACATTTGCAATTGGGCTGTTGCTGGGTGATAGTGATGGTTGGTGCCAATGGGCTGTTGCTGCTTGGGGGTGGTACTGCTGTTGCCCAGGGCTGGGTGGGGAGCTGGGCTCTGGGTTGGGTGGTGCCCGGCTCACAGGGGCTGGGCTCAGGGATGTGGGGGCGATGGGGTCAGGGGGGTGTCCAGCTCAGA